AGTAGTATTTTTTTATTTTTTTTTAGACTTTAGAAACTCAGAAGCTGATCAAATATCAGGTTAAATATCGGTGGGGTGGCCGATGTCCGATATTCAGTTTTAAGGCCGATACCGATAGGGGGCCGATTATATCGTGCATCCGTACTGCAAACGTTTTAGTTTTAGGTATAAATAATGATCCATTGATCATTCTTTGATGATGGAACTTTTCCTTTAGCTATAATTACCAAAATTAACCTTTTTAATATTAATATATAGCTGCACTAATAGACAATGATTCAGTTGAATGCGGTCGTTTCTTTTTACTCTCTTTCATCTCTGCTTTCAGAGTTAAACTTCAGACCTTCAATCAGCTGGTTCTGCTTCCTGACGTCCAGCTGAAGATCTTCAACCATCCTGGGAAACTGGAGGTGGCAGGAGAGCTGGTTGCTAGGCGCTGAGAGGAGGGGTTCAGCGAGGCGACTCCGTCCTCCCTGTGCTGCTGAACTCAGCAGCTGATGTTGGATAGAAGGAGACGCTCCAGATTCCTTTACGCTGAGCTGCTTATTGGACTGAGTTGTCTCCTGTTTCTGGGTCTCCACAGGAAGTGGACTGGGCTCGACGTCCAGCTTCATCTGGTCCGCGGCTGTGATGCGGCTCAGGATGCTGGACTGCCGGCGGCTGGCGGCTCGGCCCAGCGTGGATTTAACGTCTTGTAGGGTAACTTTCCCCCGGTGACGACCTATAACTGTGAGTCCCTCCTTATCCTCCCCATCACCGTCCACCCAGACGTTTTCCTTAATACGACGAAGGCCTGAATGATCTGGACCCAGATTAGAGTCCAGAGAATTCCAGCCACAAACTACGTCCTTCATCTTTGGCTGTTTTTTAACTTTAGTTCCTGAGAAAACGTCGGCATCATGAAATGATTCTGGAGCCACTTTGGTCTCTGTTTGGTTGATGCTTTTACTCAAACTGGAATCTTTTGAGGCTGATCTGGTTTCCTTCACATTGGCGACGGGCTTTGCCTCTTCTATCAGAGCACGGAGACTCTTCTTCTCTGGTTTTGGCAAAGCAGACGATGGAGAGGACGAGGAGGCAGTTTCTTTGAGCTTCTTCTGCTTCTTCTTATTAGCTATCAGGGTCGACGTTAACTGCTCGGACTGTGAGGAATGTGCAGAGACTTTCTTGCTCTTCTTTGGCGGTTGATCTGTTGCCATGGGAGATAATTGCTTGGGCTTCTTTTCCTTTGTGGTTGTTTTAGACAGAACTGTAGCATCCTGTGTGGTTGGAGGTGTTTGAGAGTTCGCTGCTGCTTTGCAGTGCGAAGG